GAAGGTCTCAGGTTGTTCTTTTCCGTTTCCTGACCCCTACTTTCTGTCTTTTTTCTTGCTTACGGCTTGATAGGAGCTCAGTCCTAAACCAAAGCTACATCTTCCCTGGCAAGCTCCAATGAGGTCTCTCATTTAGAGAAACTACCTTCAGGGTTTTGTAAGAGAAATCATTCTGCATTTCAATATCCTCAGAAAATAGTGCTTAAATTCACATGTGCCCTTCCCGCAGACCTTCTTTCGTTTGAAGCAACGATATCCTTAATATTAGGGAGTTAACAGAAGAAAACAGGATACATTTCTTCCATGGAAGAAGTACACCAAGATTTTTCTCTGAGACGCTTTAGAAAAAGTTGCAACATTTTTTAAAAATTCAGTGAAAAGAAGGGAATGTTATTGACCACCCCACCCCCCAAAAAAGGTTGCCATTTACCTACAGGTTTATAGATTATGAACTAGAAAAAAATCTGCAATTTTTCAAGATTCTTCTGACAAAAAAGTTCTTTGGAATCATTTTTTTCTAAGAGCTGAAAATTTTTTCTAAGAGGATTCCAGCTCTATAAACAACCCTTCTGATCTCTTGAAAAGCCAACATTTAATAGTGCTATGTATTTTTGGTTTATAAGAAAAAAGTTCAAGAGAAAAAGCCATAACCAAAAGAGTAAGTCTACTGTATTTGTGCCTCGAGCTGTACATAATAATTTCACAAAACGCGTAAGAAAGGATTAATATTTTTCATTAAAGGTAGAATATATACATATCTGTGCATAGATTCAATGGTTAGGTATGAGAAACACAGCCTGTCCCTCCACTTTCTCACCCCAAAACCCAGTGCGGAAAAAGGCTTATCTGAAGAGATACAGCCATGAAGCAAGATTTCTGATAGATACCAAAATCAAAGGCAGAAAAAGCAAAAATAAACAAGTAGAATTACATCAAACTAAAAAGCTTCTGTACAGCAAAGGAAATCATCAACAAAATAGAAAGGCAAACTATGAAATGAGAGAAAATATTTGCAAGTCAAATAACTGATAAGAGATTAATATCCAAGATATATAAAGAATTCATGTAACTCAAGAGCAAAAAAGCCCACAACCCAATCTGATTTTAAAATGGACAGAGGAACTGAATAGACATTTTTTGAAAGAAGACATACAGATAGCCTACAGGTAGAGCAACATTACTAATTATCAGAGAAAGGCAAATCAAAACCACAATAAGATATCACCTTACACCTGTTAGAATGGCTATTATCAAAAAGATAGTAAGGGGTCCTGAGGATGCAGAGAAAAGGGAACCCTTGGATGTTGTCGGTGGGGTTGCATCCTGGTGCAGACACTATGGGAAATAGTTTTCCTTAAAAAATTAAAATAGAGCTACAATATGACCCAGCAATCCCACTTCTGGGTATATATCCAAAGGAAATAAAAGCAGGACATCAAAGAAATATGTGCCTCTGTGTTCATTGCAGTATTGTTTACCCAAGATATGGAAATAACCCGCATGTCCATCAAGAGATGAATAGATAAAGATGTGTGTGGGAAGGTGGTGAGTCAATGTAAATATTAAATATTATTCAGCCATGAGAAAAAGGGCATCCAGCTATTTGGGACAACATAGATATCACTTATATTTGGAATTTTTTAAAAAAGCTGAACTCATAGAAACAGAGACTAGAACCAGGGGATAGAGGAAGAGGGGAGGGGAAGTGCAGTTTTAGATGATTAAGTTCTGGGAATCTAATGTACTGCATGGAGATTATAATTTATACTACTGAATTACATACTTGAACTTTGCTAAGAGAATATATCTTAAATATTCTCGCCACAAAAAAAGAAATAGAAATTGTGTGACATGATGGAGGTGTTAGCTAATGCTACGGTGATAATTATTTTGTAATATATAAATGTATCAAATCAACACACTGCATACCTTAAACTTACACAATGTTATGCATCAATTATCCTATATAATAAAGAGCTAATATGCTAATTAGACCAGACAGCGAATGACCTTCCAGAATAATCAGTGGGTGGGGGGCGGGGCCGTGGGGCTGCGAGGCAGCTGGGGCTGCGAGGGCCTACTCATGCATGAATTTCGCGCATCGGGCCTCTAGTACCTTAATAAATCTGAAAAATATTTCTAATAGAATCAAAATGGTTCAGTGACACAATTATAGGCTTTATTAGTACTAAGACGATGATAACTATTTAAATATCCAATAAAAATAATATAAGTTAGCCAAAAATCTAGGTAAGACAAAAAATGTTTGTCTCACATTTCCCTAAAAGACTAAATAAAATAAAAAGAATCTATGTAATTACTTTCATTTCAAATGAATTTTTAAATGTTAATTTTACCATAAAATTCACTGGAATCAGTCCCTTAAAGAATCTGTCAAATAACTGGTGTGCCTGAATATTTCACATTTCCGCTTATATGTTATAGTTGTCAAGACATAATCTAAGTCTAATGGGAAAAAACTCTGCAGGCTTCAAACAGCACTTAAAGAAACACAAAGAAGGAAAGTTGGAAGCCAAGGAAGATAATTCTGAGATAAAGGCTGAGTAGAGTGAAAGACAGAAATCTACTAGAGACCTTATCAGGAGGCAGTGCTACACTCCGCTGCATTATCAATGACCTGTAACCTCTTCTCCAGCTCACAAGCAACCCTTGAGTACTCTGGGACTAAGTGGTTGTTTTAAAAAGTTCTTGTGTCATGTTTACTTTTTCCTACGACCCTTATCAGAAGCCTGATGTACTCAAGCTCCTTAATTCACATGCTCCAATTACCTACCTAACAGCATACCCAAGAGGAATAATCAGAAGCATAAAATGCCACCCTCATAAAAAGAAAAATGAGAACTAGGATTTAAAATGAACCAGTTCATGCCCTGGCTGGTTTGGTTCAGTGGATAAAGCATTGGACTGGGGACGGGAGGGTCCTGGGCTCGATTCCAGTCAAGGGCACACGCTCCGGGTGTGGGCTCGATCCCCAGTGGGGGGCGTGCAGGAGGCAGCCGATCGGTGATACTCTCTCATCATTGATGTTTCTATCTCTCTCCCTCTCCCTTCCTCTCTGAAATCAATAAAAATATATTAAAAAAATAAAATGAACCAGTTCATTTTTAAGGGCATAGACATAGATAAATGGCATCAACACTGTGCTCTTGGTAACTATAAAAAGAATATATAATAGAGTTGATTTTTTTATTTTAAAAAGGGCACCATTTCGTTAATAAATAGATATAAGTCCTTAACTTTAAAATGAGTTATCTCCTATACAAGTAATAACTAGGGCCAACCTTGCTTAGCTTCTGAGATTAGATGAGACTGGGCATGTACATGAGGGGTCAAAATATATAGTGACGGAAGAAGATATGACTTTGGGTGGTGGGTACACAATGCAATATACAGATGATATATCGTAGAATTACACACTAGAAACCTATAGAATCTTATTAACCAATGTCACCCCAATAAATTTAATTTTAAAAAAATTAAATGAATTGTATTACCAAAGGCCATTTCTTCATGGAGCTACATTTCCACATAAAATACTGTAAGTGGTGATTCATTTCCAAAGCTACTGACATAGTACAGTGCTGACTGAATTTTGGTAAAAGTACTTGCAATGCCTTAAATGCTTATTAGTAGTTCAAGTGAAAGTATAGGAGCTTGGCGAAACAGAACTCCAAAAAATGGATGTCAGGGATTCCATATAATCCAGAATGTTCACACAACTATAATGATGGGTGATTTTCTTAAGAGAGGGTCTACAGCTTGCCTGAAGCTCTCGAAGTGGATGTCCATAACCTCACAAGGGGAGGAACTTCTGTGTTATATAAAACCCAACTCTTTCCCACAAAGCCCTCAGGTAGATGATACCAGTGAAATGAGGCATCTCGAGGAGTTATGGTCTACACATGTTCACATACAACGGTAATTTCATAGTGCAAAACTATCAAAAACCTTCCGGAAAAACAAAGTGGATGAAATCCTAGACCAGTGGTTCTCAACCTTCCTAAGGCCATGACCGTTTAATACAGTTCCTCATGTTGTGGTGACCCCCAATTTCATTGTTACAAATTGAACATAATTAAAGCATAGTGATTAATCACAAAACAATATGTAATTATATATATATGTTTTCCAATGGTCTTAGGCGACCCCTGTGAAAGGGTCGTTCGACCCCCAAAGGGGTCGCGACCCACAGTTGAGAACCACAGTCCTAGGGTAAAGAACACATTTCAACATTTTACGGGATCTGAACTGCCAACATAAGATGACACAGGAAGTTCATCTGAACGAGAGACTGGTGATCCCAATGGTACCCATTGTAAAGTAGATTTTGACCAGTCAATAGTGTTTGTCTGCTGACTTACCCGCAAGCAAATATGTCATAATGTTTATATTTGTAAGAAGTCACTTAAAATATTTTTCTTGTCCTAGACAAATCACATGGATAAAAATTTACCACACTTTTGTTACTATTATCTTTAAAAGGAAAATGCATCTTTTATGTATATATAATTCAAGCAAATAATAATGCGTATTTAAATATTAAGCCAAACATGTAATACAAACGAGTATACCCTTTTTTATTAATTTTGATCATGAATTTTTGGACAATAACTCCCTTTTACTAGTATATAATTTTTAATGTGAATTTCAACTTTACCCAAAAGTTTCTATAAAGTAATATAATGAAATTCAGATACTGTTCTTTTCTTAATTGAGGATAGTTTATTGATTTCGACTTTTTCTTTCAATAAATTTGAATTGCACAGACTATAAGGCTATTCTAATCAACAATGCAAATTCATATTCATACCTACTTAAAATGTTATTGTTTACTTACCTTTTTATCTCAAACCATGAGTCCACAGCTAAGCCATATGTCACTTCATCTCTTTTACCTCTCTCAAAACATGATTATACTTCTTAACACACTAGCAACTAGTTTTTTATTGGAAAGCTTTTCACAAGACAATGCCACTCACCCCTCCTGCCTTCAGCAACTTTCTTCTAAAGTCTTCTGTGGGGTTGTTGAAAGTCAGCTTTTCACAGCGGAGGTGGTTCACTGGCGGGTGGCCTTCAAGATGCAGGAATAGGTCATAATCAAAGCGGACTTTCTTAGGTTCTTCCTAGAGGTTGAAAAAAATTAAGAAAAGAGTTAGACATAAATAGAAATTTAGAAAGCAAAGATTAACTCCTCGTAAGAAACAGAAAAGATGTCTAACAGCTATAATGTCAAAGAAATATGGGAGGAAAAATTACCATGAAATTATCAACAAAGCAAAAGAGAAATATCAAATAAATTAGTTTCTTATGTTAGGGGAAAACCAAAAAGAATAAACTCATCATCTTTCCTATAAGCTTTCAAGTGGGATGACACCACCAACACAGCCTAGAAACACTAAGACACCCCTGAAGCCACTCCTTCCCATTCCCACTCTACCTTTCCACTCCCACCATCACCCCCCACCATTGTCTCTCGCAAATATTTCTTGAATAAGCCCTCTAAATCATACCGTGTGGACCCTGAGAAAGAAGATACTTACTAAGAAGGGCTCTGGATGGCTAACTGGGCTCAAATTTTAAAAAAACAATCTAGTAGCCATTTCTACACAGGGGCCTCTCACACAACTGCACTTCCAGAAGAAGCCTGCACTGAACTGCCTGCCTGCACTGTGTTTCAGCCCCTGAGCCAGCCCTTATAAAGGAGTGCCGGAATCCTATTTCAACCAATAGGACTGAGGCTTTCCCCACCCTTTTGAAGCTGCACAGCTATAGTCCCATCAACATCTTCCCTGACCAATCAGAGCAGCTCCATTCTGACCCAGCAGGAAAGTGCCTTTTGGGTCAATTGAAGGCAAGGGCTCGGGGTCCTCATTTGCATGAAGACAGATCAATCAGGGACCAGGAACCAGGACTTCTGTCTATATAAGTCAGGTCCTTATGACTATGGGAGTGTACCTTCCCTTTCCACCAAAGATTGAAGCCTGTGTTTCCCTGGCTGAGCTAAACACGGAAGATGTCTCCTAGAAGCAAAGTGGAGCAGACCAGCACAGGCCAGAGCAGACTGCTACAGAATGGAGCAGGCCGGAGCAGTGCAAAGCAGACCAGCAGGGAGCGGAGCATAGCTGTCCAGGGGAGGATGGTCCCGGCCCCCCCAGGGCTGCCTCACAGTCATGCTGTTTTCCCAGCTGTGCTGTATCACTATCGAGCTGTTTTGCACTGAATACAGTTTCCTGCTTCACTACACCACAAACTGGGGATTCCTGTTGGTATTGAATTGGTGCCAGTGACCATCAGTTGCCACTGTCAACCTCTAGTACTCACTGCCCTAACTACTACAAACTCCTGTCTCTAGTAGGTCTTCGTGCTTTAGGGTTATTTTCAATTTCTCATTCATTCAGGCCTCAAAATTATCGACAGGGTGGGGCTAAAGTAGGTTTAAAGATGTTCATAAATTTCTATGGTCAACTATAAACCTACTTTTTGCCACACCCTACATATTAAACAAAAACTTATCCATTTTTACTACTTGATTAAAATGTCAACAGCTTCCAATTGCCACTAGGACAAAAATTTAACCTCACATGAATGTCATATAAGGGCTTTCATAATCTGGGTCTTGGGTCCATTTTCCTGAATGAGAAGAACAAAACAGCATCATATCCAAGGGAACACAATAATAAGAATTTCATGATACTGAAGTTCTACTCCTGAGCCATTAGTTTAGTTGGCTAAACATTTAAACCTCTCTACGCACTGATCCTTTAGCATCCATGGGGAAATAAAGACTGTGGATAATAATAACAGTAACTAATAGAAACTTTAACATTTATTTCATGTGGACCAGTGGTGAGTTGTTTTAAAGATTAAGAAATTAAAGCACTTAGAATTTGTTATATTACTTTATATAAAAATCCCTGTGCATTACAGATATTAACCATCCCATGAAATGTTACAATTTTTTTTGTTTGCTATCAGCTTTGCCTTTTCTGTGTTTTTTTTTATAGCAACTGTTTTTTAATAATAGCTTTATTGAGAATAATTCACAAACCATAAAATACACCCTTCTAAAGTGTACAATTTAGTGGCGTTTAGTATATAGAGTTATGAAACTATCACCACCATCTAATTTCAGAACATTTCCTCACTCCAGAAATACACTTAAAACACATTAGTAGTCATTTCCCATTCCCCCAGGTACCACTAATCTACTTCCGTTTTTATGGAGTTGTCTATTTTGGACATTTCATGAACATACATAAAATAAACACACAATATATAATTTTTGTGACTGATTTCTTGCAGTTAGCATGATGTTTTCAGAGCTCATCTATGTTGTAATGTGTAATATGTACTTAGTTCCTTTTATGGCTAAATAATATTCAGTTGAATGGTACATCAGCTTTTTTTTATCCACTTATTGGTGGATAGACACGTGGGCTGTTACGACTTTTTGACTGCTATGAAAAATGCCTTAATGAGCATTTGTGTGCAAGTCTTTATGTGAACCTGTGTTTCCATTTCTTTTGAGTATACACCCAGAAGTGAAATTTCTGGGTCACTCTATTACTTGGGAACTCTATGTTTAACATCTCCAGGAACTGCCTTACTGTTTTCTAGAATGGCTGCAACCTTTTTAAAATCTCACCAGCAACGTATCAGGTGTTGGTGGTTTTTTCAAACATTAAAATGTTACATAGTCAAACAAAGCAATTGTTTCTCTTTACCAAACAGAGTTTGTTATATTACTAACACGTGATGAGACAAAGTGATTCGAACCCAGTTCTTTTGACTCAAAAGTCTGGGCACTTGAAACTGTCAGGATGTACCTACAAATTCAATGTTTCCACCTCCTCACCCAAACTTCCCCAAATCATAGTCTCCACTCATTTGCTCACTACACTTCACTTCTATCAATCTGCATGAAACCTGCTCACCTCTTTCATTGGGATGCCATTCTTTCCTGACTACGAGCTCACACTTAGTATCATTCCTTCTCAGCCTTCCTTGCATTTCCCTTCTTTCTTCATTGACCCATACATCGCCTTTAACTTTTGCAAAGTTCCCCAGGGGGATGACACCCACTCACAGGGAGTCCGTCCCGCCAACATGACTGTGACCCCACCCCCATCTGTATCCCTAGTCCAGCCCTTACTTGGCCACATGCATGTGTTCCACAGTCTACGCACATCTCTGCTAGGTTGTCGACCCGCAGAAACATCAAATCCACGCATTCTCTTAAACTGAAGCTGTATTCATCTGCCCTTTCTCCTGTACTCTATTCCTAGGCAAACAAGAATCCTAACTGCTTGCCAAGGTTAAAATACACAAAAAATCATCCCCTACTCTATTCTTCCTTCTCGCTCACTGATCACAGTCAAATTCTCTCCAACTTCTGTTTAGTATTCCTTCTCAGGAACTCTCAGATCTATCCCCTTTACTCCAGTTACCATAACCAGTGCCTTAGTTTAGACCTTCACCATTCCTCACCTCATCACTTCCCTGTTTTTGAACTTAACCTATTCTACCTCCCCCAGTGACAAGAGAGCGGTCTTTCTAATACAAAAGTTAGATTACATCTTTTCATTGATATAAAAGCCTTTAATGAAGTATCATTTTCTACAGGATAAAATGCCACTTCCTTAGAATAACCACCATAGTCATTTAATACCTTCCCTGCATTTGTTTCCTTTGTTCTCTCACTACACCCTATCCTGCTGTAACTTTGCAGTTCCCCATTAATGTGCATCACCTCATTCACTCAGCCTTTCACATATAGTGTTCCCCATGCCTAAAATGCCTTCCCTCCCCGGAGACCTCCCTCCCTTGCCCACCTAATGCAAACTCATTATTCAAGATGCAGCTAAAGCATGGAATCCTCTGAAAAGTCTTCCTAACTCTCCAAATAAGACATTGCCCTTATAGCATTGCTTTATTAATGTAATTATCACACTGAATTATGATCATTGTTCATTTATCTGTTTTTCTCTAAATTGCAAAACAGTCCATACAACCTTAGAGTTTCTTTTAAAGGGGGCGGGGGGCTTTTTCCAGCCTTATAATTTGGAGTATAAAGCCTTTTGGAAAGACATTTGGGCAATATCAACCAACATACTACATGCATATGAAACCCTGACCCAGTAATTCTCTTTATAAGTTTTATTCCCTTGACTTCATTTAATCATTCTTAACTATTTCATATAGCCTCTCCATAGATAAAATTTACTAGTATGTCAATGTAGACAGAGATTAGCAGGCACTTAATATATCATACTTCAATATTTTTCTGTGACTTGCCTTTAATTCACTTAGCAATATGCCTTTTCAAGTCAGTATTTTAAAATATCTGCGTTGTATTTCTTTGTAATGATATACTCACCTGCAGATCATTCCTATTTTTTTAGTGTTATAAACAAGGCTACCACAAACATTGCTGAATATATGTATTTGTTGAGTAAATTCTAAGGATGAATAAAATGATAAATATCCAAGCCGTGCAATATTTCAATGACTCAGTTTCCTTTCCTTAAAACTAGGGATATTATTTATGTCTCAGTAGTTCTTGTAAACCTACTAAATGATGCACTATATGTAAATGGCTCAGAGACTGCCAAGGTCAAAGCAAGCATTCAAATATTTAACTACACAGAAATAGGTAACTGCCAAACATGCTCCCAAAATATAAATTAAAAAACAAACAAATCAACAATAAATGGGGGTATGGGTAGCAGATCTGTAGGGAGGTGGTGTAGCAGGAATGTAGTATGTGAGATGGGTTCAAAAAGAAACAAAAAATGTGAAAAACAAAATTTATCCCGTCATCCAGACATTCGTGTTTGTCAGAATAGTCTTATTATAGCTTAATTAAAAGTGAATTATCCCTTAATCGTTTAGGAGATTTTTGCTGGGCCTTCCACCCATTGAAAAAGCCAGTGGGACACTGTTGCAGTGGGAGGTACTGGGCATGAGAGAGTGGCTTCTCAGTGGTTCTCCTACTTCACTGTGCATGAGAATCACCCAAAAGTTTAGCAGATATGCAGACTCCTAGGCCCTGGTCCAGAGATTCTGCTTCAGGGGATTTGGGATATGGCCTGAATCTCACTTCTAGCCTGCTCTTCTTGGGTGATGCTGATGTTGCTGGTACAAGGACCACACTTTATGGAGCAGTGTCAGGATAACATCCTATTAGCTCAGTCCCTTTTTAAAAAAGGGGGTGTGGATGTGGGCATGGATTATCTCACTTTTGGGTAAGTTTTAGAAACTATGATTACTTTGGAATACATGGAGGGAACAGTGTCCTTAAACATAACATAGCATTCACTAAGTGCTTACATATATTTGAAGCATTATTCTAAACACTCAGCTTTACGGTATCTAAAGTACCTACAGTATTTACAGGATCTAGCCACCTTCTGGGGTAGATACTCTTTCTCTATCTCCATTTTATAAATACAAAAAGTGATCCCCACAGAGGTTGTCCAATATTTTATAGTCTGTATGTTTTGCCACATTTGTTAACTGATGGAAGCTTTTAAATCCAGCAGAATCCATAATATCTCAAGTTGATATAATTGTATATATATGCATATCATGTGTGTGTATAGCAGCTAAAGATGACATATTATTCTTTGTAAGTCTAAAAATTCTAGAAATATGAAAATGAGGACAGGTGTATTTCACTGAAAAACCATAATTACTCTTTTCTATTTAAAAAACATATTAATCTTCTTTTTCAATAGAAACCACTCTTCCCTTAAAAAGAACATTTAATAATTTCATATAATCTGACTTCATACAATTGAAATTATCTTTTTCTAGCTACTTCCCCTGTAATTAAGGGGAACAATAGCTAAAATTCCTAGAGGACAAATTTAACTTTATTTTAAAATCATCTAGAGATAGAAGGGCTTATGAATCAAAACTACTTTAAATATCATTTGGTTAATGGAGGATCTTCTAGTGAAAAATTAATGGGTAAGGATTACATACCTTGTTTTTAAAATAAACCTCAATTGGCAAAATGAAACCAGCATACCCAGATTCTTCTACTTTGTAAGGTGGATCTTTGCACACTGAAACATTAAAAAGAGAAAACAGGTGAGATGAGAATAATAGACCAAGAGACAGTTTCCTTTCCTTTAAGAAAAAAACCCATTCTACCATCTAGATCAGTGATGGCGAACCTTTGAGCTCGGCGTGTCAGCATTTTGAAAAAACCTAACTTAACTGGTGCCGTGTCACATATAGCATTTTTTTGATATTTGCAACCATAGTAAAACACAGACTTATATTTTTGATATTTATTTTATATATTTAAATGCCATTTAACAAAGAAAAATCAACCAAAAAAAATGAGTTCAGAGGTAACACGCGTGTCATAGGTTCGCCATCACTGATCTAGATCATACTCAATTTTCACAGCCCTTTGCAAGGCCCCCATCTGCATCTCTGATCTATCCTTTATTTCTTCTCCAGAATCTATAATAATTTTTCCATGTAAATAAAATATGTAAATTATCACAGTCAACCATGATTATTAATGACTTTATTTTAGTTGTTATCACCCACCCTGCTTTAGGGAAACTGAGGAAAACTCCTCCTGGCCCAAAGCGTGAAAGTGTGCTAACGCAAGTCCTACTTACGTCTTTGATGTGAATCAGTCCACCCCTAGACTTCTCACTTCTCTGAGATACCCTGATTTCTATGCCTAAAAGTGGCAGGACCCCTTCCTTCCTTCGAAAATCCTAAATCCACAGTCTCCCAATGTTGTTGATGCCCATTAAGTCGCTATTTCTCATTTCGCCCAAATATGAATGCTTACTGAAATATTGGTATACACACAAACACTTAAAATCTATTCACATCATACAAATATATGAGAAACAATACGGCTTTAGTGTTTCTTATGAAGGAAGGCTATTAGGTAAGCTCTTGGGAAATGAGAGACACCCTAAGAAGCTAAATATTTCATCCCACTAAAATTTCCATTAAGTCAAAATCAGTGGCAAGCCAACTGGAGTCATTCTAGTTAAGCCTGCATTTGGGGTCTTGAAGAAATTCCAATTTCTTCACGAGGCCTTTCCAAACCACAAAGTACTATCATCTCTTCTCCCTTTACCCTCCCAAAGCATTAACTGTCTGAACCCAACAGAGTTCCTTATTACTATATACTCAGGAGTTTCACCTGTAATTTCCTTTCGTTCCTCAGAGACCAAAATATTTATCTCAGGAACATGAAGAGTGTTAAGGGCTCAGGCAAACCTGGGTGGCCATCCAGGATCCACCTCAGACTAGCCAGGCCATGCTCTACAAAGTAACTCAAATTCTCTGAACCCCACGTTTCTCTTCTGGACAGTGTAGGGATTAAACAGGATGATGTACGGAAAAGACACAGCACAGATCCTGGAACACAAAGTTTTCAGTAGTGACTGAAGTGAGGCAGGGAATCTAACCTGTAAAATCTAACATGTAACCTTTTCGGCTAGGAAGAGAAAGGAGGCAGCAAGTAGAAAGCCCTGGATTTGGATTAGAAGATGGGTCCACAGCCCTGGACTAAGAATTCTCCAGACAACTTCCATTTCCTTTCACTTTAAAAGGGAATACAACATCTATGCATCTCTAAGCACGGCCTTCAAAATGCAAGAAAACCACATAAGTGTGAGGCATTTTTATTACAGATGACCATGATGATGTACATGAAAACAGGTTAGGCATTCCACAAGTACAAATGTGGTTACAAAGCGGTGTGCTGAAGATAGGATTTTCACATTTGGCTGTCTCCTTTCGTCCACCTTAGAACCAATTCTCCAAACTGACATCAGAAGTTAATCAGGAATGAGGGATCTCACCTGACCTTACAAGTTTCTCTAATAAAATATGAAAAAGCACAAGAGTGGCTTGGTCCTTCACCCACTGACCACCTGCCAACCTGTCATGGATATTCAAATACCCTGAACACTGAGGGTGGGGGTAATGCTACTAAATGCACTGAGCACTGCCAACCACACCCCAGCTAGAAGGCTAGCATTATACCCACAACCTTTCTGGGCTGCAGAGCCCCTTTTTAGAACAGCAATTTCAGTGTCCAGGTTGCTGGGATTAATCACACCAATGTTGTTTGAAGGAAGTTTATTCTGCGGGTTGCTGTACGTGCCAGAAGTTATAGCTGTTCCTCTATACACCCTTTTGTATAATTCATTTTCTCTATTCTGCATGCAAATTGCTCCTAATATAGGAAACAGCTGTTAGTGAGCATATCTCATAGTTGAAAGTGTTAGATTTTTTCCACCCTCTAAAGGAAATGATGTTATGTATTAATATTCCAGAGAAGTCTGGTATTATAAGAAACTGTTTACCAACACATACCTCAATTATTTTTAAATGAAATACTTTCATAAATAACAATGAACAATGTCTGAGTTCTTCATTAGAAGCAAACAATATTTTATACACAATAAACATGCCAGACAATCAGTAGCAATACAAAAACAAACTTACAGTTCTGACTGAAGAAAGTCAAATTAGGGGGAATAGTTTGCTTGTTTATTTGTTTGTGTCTCTTATAACCAGAATCGTTAATATGAGTTTCTAACCCAGTTCTTAAAAAGAAACAGGAGTTAACACTAAGAAATATTTTAGCCAGTAGGGATAGTACATTAGACATAAAGCATTATTTTGAAACTAATAGAACCACATTTGGGATCTCCTTCTGTCACTCAACAACACTTCTTCATTAAGAATCCCTTTGCACAACAGTGGTATCATAGATAATTAGGTTTATCTGAGACATGATTATTGCTCATTGAGAATCCCTTTTCTTGGTCACTGACCACACTGTTACCTTTATAAGATCTAAGCATCTAAAACCCTTCAACTCATTCTTCCTCTCAGCTATTCAAGAATTAGATAATCCCTAAGAACTATGTAATAAAAGGCCAGGTTTCAGAAGTTATTGAAGGGGATATTCATCTTTGGAAAGCCATCAAATTTTTTTAGGTGACAATAAAATGGGAAGATTAACATTCAATCTTTAAACTATGAAAACTGATTCTGTAGAAATCAATGAAAACTCTTCCTCCTGTCAAAATCTGGCCCAAAGGTTAACTCTTCCGAGCTTCTCTGGTTGCCCTTATCAGGCTGGTGGGTAACATTCATTCACCTTTAAGATTCCTCCACTAGGCAAGGCCCCGTGAGGTCCACCGCCCCATCATTCTTCATATTTGTAACTCTGGGCGCTAACGCTGAGTCAAGTAACAGGTACTCAACAAATATTTGATGAATTGAATATTTTCAAGATTCATGCCACCCTTCACTAATTTACCATGGCTAAATACGTTGCTTGCTGGAAGCTGCCAAGAGTTGATATGAGCCATGAAATTCTTCTGCAAACTCTCTACAATCACCATAAACCTTAAAACATTGGTGCAGGCGATAAAAAGTATTGCCACAGATGAGTCTTGTCTTGAATGCTGAACACCCAGTGCTAACTGGTTCTAATTCTGATAATACCAAATTTTAGGAAACTGAGTTAACAGATTGGGCCAGAAGACCTCCAATGTCATTTTGAAACTAACATTATATAGCCATAAATAACATGTTTCTTCTCCTCTCCTCCCACACATCACTACCCGTGTACCCCAAGGCTCTAACTAGGAGACATTTTCAAAACTCTTTGTCCAAGAAACCACAGGTACCATGTAGCTCTAACAACACACAACACCCCAAATTCATGCCTGAGAGGAACAGACCAAAGTTTTTGTACATAATGAGTAATTTTTCCTAAAATAGCCTTTCAAAAATAATAGGCACAATGGAGAGCCATATGCATAATAGTCAGTATGATGCTAAATATGTGCATTGACCATTAATGTATTTAATTGTTTTAAGTTGAGCAGAAAAAGTACACAAAATTAAAACACATAAAACAGGGGAAGGGTCATGATTAAATTAATCTGGAATAAGTCAAATCCTTACTTACTACCTGAGATTTTTAATATTCTTCATTTAGGAGAAAAGAGTTTCAAAAATGAGCTGTGCTTTGTACAGAGAAATGTGTCTCTTAGATGAATAAATAAATGTATGCTTATATAATAATCACATATAAAATAAATGAATTTATATTCATTAAGAGGTCCCACATAGCAGCACAATTTACAATAGCTAAGATTTGGAAACAGCCTAAGTGCCCATCAAAACAAGTGGATTAAAACACTGTGGTACATCTACACAATGGAATACTATGCTGCTGTAAAAAGGAAGGAACTTCTATCATTTGCAACAGCATGGATGGACCTGGAGAGCATTATGCTAAGTGAAATAAGTCAATCAGAGAAAGATAAATATCACATGATCTCACGCATCTGTGGAATATAATGAACAACATAAACTGATGAACAAAAACAGATCCAGAGACAGAGAAGCATCGATCAGACCATCAAACCTCAGAAGGAAGGCAGGGCAGGGTGGGGAAAAGGGGAAAGATAACTAAAGGACTTGTATGCATGCATATAAGCATAACCAATGGACAAGACACTGGGGGGGGGGTATGGGGGGATGAGGACACATATGTAATACCTTAATCAATAAAGAAAAAAAGAGATCCCATTTTTTAGCACTAGATAAAAAAGAGGAAAATATGAAACTCTTCTAGACCCCTAAGACCCTCATTTAAGCTTTAAAAAATATCATTAGGCAATAGGTGTGTTTTTTTTCCTAATCCTTAGGAAAACAGCTGGTAGACTCCTTTCCAGAACCTCTCTCCAGTGTGTTTGCTTAGACACTATTATTTAAGTCCATCCGAATACTTTTGTTAAGGACTTGGCCCAGTTGCCCATTGATAATTATTGGTTTTACTTTATTTACTGTGTAGGACCCTTCAGGAAGGAAACACCAAACTCTCTTTATACATAGACTGGTTATTACCACTGCCGTATGACAATGTCCCTTCCAGCTTCAGCATTTTGGACTCCTTCTTTCCTGCTCTATTGCCACCACATCAGGCCCCATGAATAGTGAAAGAGGGTGCTGCATGGTCCATGTCGCTGCCCCCAACTGGTCCGTGTGAGCATTTGGA